GACTACAGCCATGCCACCACACCTGGCTAATTGTTAAATTTTTTTTTGTAGAGACAGGGTCTCACCCTGTTGCCTCAAACTCCTGGGCTCAAGCAATTCTCCCACCTCAGCCTCCCAAACTGCTGAGATTACAGGCGTGAGCCACTGCACCCAGCCCAGAGCCTGTGCTCCTTTTTTCTGAGATAGAGTCTCGCTCTGTTGCCCAGGCTGGAGTGCAATGGCGTGATCTCGACTCACTGCAACCTCTGCCTAACGGGTTCAAGAGATTCTCCTGCCTCAGCCTCCCAAGTAGTTGGGATTACAGGTGCCCGCCACCATGCCTGGCTGATTTTTTGTATTTTTTAGTAGAGACAGGGTTTCACCATGTTGGCCAGGCTGGTCATGAACTCCTGACCTCAGGTGATCCACCCATCTCAGCCTCCCAGAGTGCTGGGATTACAGGCGTCAGCCACTGTGCCTGGTCGAACCTGTGCTCTGAACGCATGCATGTGGTCCAATGCTGCTTTGGACAGCCACCTCTGGTCTCTAGTTTTAAAGTGCTTCTTCACAAGCAGTCACTGTATCTTAACATCCAGCATGACAGAGGGGTTCAGTCCCAGGCAGTTCTGGGGTTACTGTGACATCTGTCATCTCCCAAGCTCTGTACTAAATATTCCTGTTCTTCCCTGTAAGCCTCGGGTTGAATACTGTTATCAGCTCTATTTTACAAGTGAGGAAACTGAGGGCTAGAGAGGTTAATTGGCATGCCCAAGACCACACAGCTACAAGTGGATGGTAAAGCCGGGCTTCACAGCCTGGCCTGCCCAACTCCTTCCTGTGACAGGAATCCTAACTCTTCTGGAGGTCACAGCCTATTGCCTCAGTGCCTGCATTCAGCCTACACATATATTTTGTTTGGGCTGCAAGATAAGGGGTGTGTTTTTGTTGGTTTTTTTGTTTGTTTGTTTTGAGATAGAGTCTTGCTCTGTCACCCAGGCAGGAGTGCAGCAGCAGGATCTCAGCTCACTGCAACCTCCGCCTCCTGGGTTCAAGCCATTTTCCTGCCTCAGCCTCCCTAGTAGCTGGGATTACAGGCATGCGCCATCACACTCAGCTAATTTTTGTATTTTTAGTAGAAATGGAGTTTCACCATGTTGGCCAGGCTGGTCTCAAACTCCTGACCTTGTGATCCACCCACCTCAGCCTCCCAAAGTGCTGGGATTACAGGTGTGAGCCACTGCACCTGGCCGCTGATAAGGGGTGTTTTTTGATTTGAGGTATAGTTTAGTAAGGTTTGGTAATTTGGCTGCTTTTTAGAAAACTGGGTCTGAGTTGCTACATACCGACTGTCAGCTAGAGCCAGGTAGCCGCTGCCCTCTTTGGATGGATTGGAGGTTCCCACTCTGCCTGGCTTCACTCATTACTTGCCCAGCCCATTGTGATTTTCCATGCAGTGAGATGTGAGACTATACTTTTCCTCCCCCTAAATACACACCCGAGGGTCAGGTATCAGAATCATCTGTGGGGCTTTTTCAAGCTGTGCTTCCCCTCCCCCACTCACCATCCCTACTATTCTGATACTGGGCAGTGGTGAGACAGTTTCCTGCAGAAGTTTGTCGTTTCTCTATGTTGTAGTAGGATAGGAAAAAAGATCAACAACTTCTATATCCCTGTGTCCCAGGAGTGTCATGTGTGCTATGCTAAACTGGAAAGACTATGGAATTAAGTTCAGAACTGGGTCCTGGTCTTGCCTCTGCCTCTGACTTACATGCAAGTCAATTGTCCTCTCAGGCCAGGTGCAGTGGCTCACACCTGTGATCCCAGCACTTTGGGAGGCCAAGGTGGGCAGATCACTGGCGGCCAGAGTTTGAAACCAGCCTAGCCAACATGGTGAAACCCTGTCTCTATAATACAAAAATTAGCTAGGCGTTGTGGCGCACGCCTGTAATTCCAGCTACTTGGGAAGCTGAGACATGAAAGTTGCTTGAACCCGGGACAGAGGTTGCAATGAGCCGAGATCGTGCCACTGGCAAGAGTTTGTCTCAAAAGAAAAAAGAAAATTGTCCTCTCAGAGCCTTGGTTTTCTCTTCTGTAAAACGGAGCTAATAATCCCTGTCCACCTGCGGAGGTGTGGTGGGTGGCTCCAGTGAGATCGTGACTGGGAACGTTCTTTGTAAACTGGGAGTTCTCTTTTTTTTGTTTGTTTTTTTTTTTTTAAAGGCCAGCAGCCTATCAAGCTAAAAGCCTCAGGGGCTGACACCTTTCCAGGCTGAAGGCCGGAGTTCTCTTGTACAGGGTAGTTGGTGTCCTCAGCCAAGCTGAGCATTCCTGACCTCTAGGAATCTTGGCTAGGCCCTCTGTGGGGAAGAGTCCACATTCCTGGGGACCTGGCCTTGTGCTGTGGGCTATAGGATTGTGTTTGAAGGAGAGAGCCCAAGGGACCTTCTCTGAGATGTGGATACAGTTCATTGCTGGGGCCACCCTAACAGTGTGGCCCTTTCGTCCTTAACTACCTGGCACTCCTCTCCCTGTGGAGGTGGACTGTGCTGGGCCATGTCTACCCTCTTTACAGGCTCCACGGGCACTGCTGGAGGGCTTGGGGATCAACTGAGACTGTGAAAGGACTATCTGAATAAAACCAACTAACTGTGGCCAGGCGCGGTGGCTCATGCCTATAATTCCAGCACTTTGGGAGGCCGAGGTGGGTGGATACCTTGAGGTCAGGAGTACTAGACCAGCCTGGCTAGCATGGTGAAAACCCGGTCTCAACTAAAAATACAAAAAAAGAAAAAAAAATTAGCCAGGCATGGTAGTGCACGCATGTAATCCCTCGAGAGGCTGAGGCAGGAGACTCACTTAAACCCAGGAGTTGGAGGTTGCAGTGAGCCAAGGTTGTGCCACTGCACTCCAACCTGGCAGGTTAGAGCAAGACGCCATCTCAAAAAAAAAAAAAAAAAGAAAGAAAAAGAAAAAACTGACCTGCAGAACTCTACTAATCTAACCTGCAATGTGTCTCTGTGTTTCAGAGGTGTGATTTGTTCATTCACTGCACAAAGTTCACTTAGCATTTGCTCTGTGCTAGGCCCTGCACTGGGTATGGGCATTCCACAGACGTAGGGTTATGGTTGTTACCAAAGGAGCCTCTGGGCTCTCAACCCTGAGCTCTGGGCACCTGAGGGGATGCAATGGACAATGAGGCTGGAACAGAAGATGGCTGTGCCTCCTATGTTAGGCTAGGGACTTTGGTTGGGGCATTGTCTTGCAGGTAAGGAGCCTTTGAAGGATTTTTGACAATGCCCAGGCAGGTTCCATCAGCTCAGGGGAAAAGGAACAGGAAGATGAGGAAATGAGAAGTTTAGTGTGGGATGTGTTGAGTTTGAGGTTCTGTGGAACATCCCGTGGTTGCCATGTGGCAGGCAGCTGGATTTATGAGCCAAGACTCAGGGAAGTTCTGGACCAGGGTTAGAGATCTGAGAGGTATTGGTAATTGATAGTTAGAGGATTGACTATGAATAGAACTGTACAGGCCAGGCACAGTGACTCACACCTATAATCCCAGCATTTTGGGAGGCCCAGACAGGAGGATCACTTGAGCCCAGGAGTTCAAGACCAGCCTGGGCAACATAGCGAGACCCTGTCTTTTTTCTTTTTTTTTTTTTTTTATAAAGACGGGGTTTCACCATGTTGGTCAGGCTGGTCTTGAACTCCCGACCTCAGGTGATCTGCCCGCCTTGGCCTCCAAAGTGCTTGGATTACAGGCATAAGCCACCACGCCCAGCCAAGACCCTGTCTTTACAAAAAAATGTTTTAAAAATTAGCTAGGTGTGGTGATACACACCTCTAGTCCCAGCTACTCGGGAGGTTGAGGTGGGAGGATCACTTGAGCCGGAGGTTGTGGGTGCAGTGAGCCATGATCATGCTACTGTACTCCAGCCTGGGCAACAGAGACCCTGTCTCAAAAAAAAAAACAAAAAAAAAACCTTACAGAGTGTGAGAAGGATAAGAATGAAATGTGGAGTGGTTCACCCCCCTCAAGTTAGAGATGAGCAAGCAGGGCCCAGAGGAAAGCTGTTTGCTTATGGCCTCAGCAGTAAGTGTCATTCATTCATTCATTCAACAGGTCTTTATTAAATACCTGCCATGTACTAGGAGCTAGTTTAAGTGCTGGGATACAGCAGTGAACAAAACACTCATGGAGCTTGCATTCCAGTGGGCAGACTCTGAAAACAGATTGAATATTATGTTAAGTGGTGGCAAATGCTACAGATAAAAGTAAAGCAGTATATTCATAGATTATAAAGATTAGGAAAATAGGGCTGGGTTCGGTGGCTTATGCCTGTAATCCCAACACTTTGGGAGGCCAAGGCGGGTGGATCACTTGAGGTCAGGAGTTTGGAACCAGACTGGCCAACATGGTGAAACCCCATCTCTCTCTTTTTTTTTTTTAATCATCCAGCCCAAAATGTTAAAATGTCAGAAACCCTGCCTCTACTAAAAATACAAAAAATTATCCAGGCATCATGGGGGGTGCCTGTAATCCCAGCTACTCTGGAGGCTGAGGCAGAGACTTACTTGATCCTGGGAGGCAGAGGCTGCAGAAAGCCGAGATCTTGCCCCTGCACTCCAGCCTTGGCGACAGAGGGAGACTTGTCTCAAAAAAAAAGAGAATGACACTTTTTAGACTTTGGAGAATGACACTTCTTAGGTTTTGACCTAAGTAACAGGAAGGATGGAGTTGCCACGAGGTAAGATTATGTGATGAGTAGTTTTAGGGGAGAATTGGGAGTTCAGTTTTGGACAGGTTGACTTAGAGCTACCTGTAGACACCTACACAGAGTTCAAGTGGGCAGTAGCAGCAGCAGCAAGGCCCTCATTTCAGCCCTTTCCCCTGCTCTCGGAGTCCAGGTCTGTGCTCCCATCTCTCCACACCCTGTCTGTGTAACTTTCTCATCCCTGGCAGCTGACCTGGGCCACTAGCCGCCTCCCCGCACTGAGAACTGACCCCAGCCCCCTGCCCCTAGGTTGTGCACAGGGACCTGAAGCCCAGCAACATCCTGTACGTGGACGAGTCCGGGAATCCTGAGTGCCTGCGCATCTGCGACTTTGGTTTTGCCAAACAGCTGCGGGCTGAGAATGGACTCCTCATGACACCTTGCTACACAGCCAACTTCGTGGCGCCCGAGGTGAGTGGCCCAGCCTCCTCTGCTATAAGAGAGGGGGAACTGGAGGCCTTATGCCCCTTCCCAGAGGCCCCACATTGGCCAGGGCTCCAGTCTCTGTGACCTTGGCCCAGCTGGCAAGGGAAGATCTAGCCTGTGGCTGGGACCCTTGTCCTGCCCTTGAGAGCAGTAGCAGGAGCATCTGTGGCAACTTTCTACTGCCCCCAGGCTGACCACCTGCCCTGCCCTGTTGCCAGGTGCTGAAGCGCCAGGGCTACGATGAAGGTTGTGACATCTGGAGCCTGGGCATTCTGCTCTACACCATGCTGGCAGGGTGAGTGCCCTTTGGCCTGGACCCTTCCCCACTCCTGCAGCCCTAGCATTTGGGCTGGGTGGTGCTTGTCTGATAGGAAAGGCTCAGCCAGCCCTGCCTCAGGATGGTCTGGAAATAGAGACATGGTCCTGCCTCTGGGAACTCTGCCTTGGGAGCACCCCTTCCGTGGGGAGACACAGTCTCCCACCACAGCCCTAGCCCCAGGATGGAGGCCAGAGTCTATACCCAGACCGTGTGGGCTTTTCTGCAGATACACTCCATTTGCCAACGGGCCCAGTGACACACCAGAGGAAATCCTAACCCGGATCGGCAGTGGGAAGTTTACCCTCAGTGGGGGAAACTGGAACACAGTTTCAGAGACAGCCAAGGTGAGTCTGTAAGGCCTGCATGGCCTCATTTGGAGGAGGGAGGCAGGGTCCCGTCCCAGGGCTTTTCAGCTGTTCGTGAACAGCCTCATTTCTCCAAGTAGATGTTCCACAAATCCCTGTTGCTATATTTCTCCAAGTGGAAGATTCCCAGGCAGACCACCCCCACAATCCCCGTACCATGTTAGGGTAACTTGGTGATCATTCACTGGCCCTTCTCATTCTGGGCCCTGTAGGGCACAACGGGCTGCATAACCACAGTCCTGGCCTCCGGCCTTGTGGAAACAGTGTAGTGAGGGATACAGGTTGGCACACAAGGAACAGCAGTGCCTGGCGGCCCAGATAGGTGGACCATCTTGGCCAGGGGTGTGGACCATGGAGACACAGAGCAGAGTAACTGGCCATACTAAGCAGAGCCTCCTCCAAGGAGGTGGCATGTGAGCTTCTAGTATTAACAACAGTTTTTGGTTATTGGGAATCTGTATTCCAGACAGAGTTGAGCCCTCTATGTGCGGCATCAACCTGTGAGGCAGGCGTGGTTATTCCTATTTCTCAGCAGGGAAACTGAGGCTCAGAGAGTTGAAGCAACTTGCCCAGGGCACTCAATTGATGAGTACAAAAGGCAAGTTTTGAACCTGAGTCTGTCAAAGCCCAAACCTGAGGATTTTCCTACCTTCCCCCATGGCGTTTTGGAGGTAAAGGAGAAATGGGTGTTCCAGGACAAAGAGTCTAGAGCAGCAAAGGCCCGGAGACAGGAACCTTGGCTGTGTGCGGGAGCCCTGAGCAGACTGGAGAATGGATCACAGGGGCTGCTGCAAGGGTTCAGGCGGGAGCTAGCAGGAGATGGTTGCCTTCCTGTGCCCCATCAGAGGCCTGCTCCCCTGCAACCCTCCCACCAACCCCTTGCCCACTGTGTCCCCAGGACCTGGTGTCCAAGATGCTACACGTAGATCCCCACCAGCGCCTCACAGCCAAGCAGGTTCTGCAGCATCCATGGGTCACCCAGAAAGACAAGCTTCCCCAAAGCCAGCTGTCCCACCAAGACCTGCAGCTTGTGAAGGTATGGCCACCCTTGGGCTGCTGGGCATCTGGGAGGTCAGCCCAAGGTGGCATGATCAGGGACTTGTGGCAGAGCCAGGAAATGCCATGAGGTGAAACATAGGAGAGGAAGATACAGTTAGGGAGCCTGTCTAACTGCCACAGTGTCACGGTACACTCACAGCCCCCAGTCCTCTGGAAGACACAGCTGCTGACCTCTGAACCCTCCCATCTGATTGGGGATGCAGGACCCATGACCATAAAGGACCACTGAGGCTAGATTAACAGTGGGCTATGGGACCAGGTGCCGTGGCTCACGCCTATAATCCCAGCACTTTGGGATTATAAGTAGGCGGATCACTTGAAGTCAGGAGTTCGAGACTAGCCTGGTCAACATGGTGAAACCCAGTCTCTACTAAAAATACAAAAATTAGGCTGGACGCGGTGGCTCACGCCTGTAATCCCAGCACTTTGGGAGGCCAAGACGATCATGAGGTCAAGAGATCGAGACCATCCTGGTCAACATGGTGAAACCCCATCTCCACTAAAAATACAAAAATTAGCTGGGCATGGTGGCACATGCCTGTAGTCCCAGCTACTCAGGAGGCTGAGGCAGGAGAATTGCTTGAACCCAGGAGACGGAGGTTGCGGTGAGCCGAGATTGCGCCATTGCACTCCAGCCTGGGTAACAAGAGCAAAACTCCATGTCAAAAAAAAAAAAAAAACAAAAAAACAAAAATTAGCTGGGCATGGTGGTGGACACCTGTAATCCCAGCTACTTGGGAGGCAGAGGGAGGAGAATCGTTTGAGCCTGGGAGGCGGAGGTTGCAGTGAGCCAAGATCGTGCCATAGTACTCCAGCCTGACAACAGAGCTGAAACTCTATCTCAAAAAAAAAAAAACAAAAACAGAGAAAAACAGTGGGCTGTGGAACACTGAGAGGGGCTGGCCTACCCTTGGGGCATGTATCCCCCCCCCCACTGCATCTCCCACCATTGTAAACTGACCTCCCTCCCCGCCGCCCCGTTCTCTCTCAGGGAGCCATGGCAGCCACGTACTCCGCACTCAACAGCTCCAAGCCCACCCCCCAGCTGAAGCCCATCGAGTCATCCATCCTGGCTCAGCGACGAGTGAGAAAGTTGCCGTCCACCACCCTGTGAGGCACCAAGGCATTCAGGCCACAGGGCAGTGCTAGCTTGACGGAGGCGGCATGCTTCCCAGAGAGAGCAGGCTGGAGTCACAGGGCCAGAGGGAACTGGAACCCGAGGGGCCAGGGAAGCTGCCAGCCCAGACCACCCCTAGCGAGGGTGTGAGAAGTGCCTTCTCCTTCCCCAGGACGGACTCTTCTCGGCTCAGGCTCTGCTGGTGGAAAGCGATTCACTGTACAAACTCTTTTTTTATGGAAAAAATTGCATCAACCACCATGGATTTTTACAAGATCCATTTGCCTTTCTGGGAGCAGAAACAGCCAGTGCGGCCCCAGGAGGGGAACTGAGTCACACTGGGGTTCTCTGAGACTCTTTAAAGCAGTTTTGGGATCCCACCCTGGGAACCCCCACGATTGGCCATCTGTAGCCATCTGCACACACCTCCAAGGCAGTCCAGTGTCACATCTCTCAGAGCCTCTGACTGTTTAGTAGAACTCATTCGATCCCCAATCAGCTCCTTTTCCGTTCTGTTCTGCTGGGGGTTCTAGAACTACTTCCTGCTACAGGAGGGGACTCAGGCCCTGCTGGCTTCCGGCTTCAGGCACCAGCATCCACCTCGGCCCTGCCAGTGGACCCCCTGCGGTCACGCTGGGCAGCCCCAGAGAGAGGATGTGGAAAGCACTTTTTGGCTGACTTCTTTCGGGGTTGGCAAGGGGACAGAGTTCACAGGAGGCCAGTGGGCAGGCCATGAGGGGCGGGGCTTTTTTCATTTCTTCCTCAGCTGGTTACTCAGGGTTCGTCTGTCCATGGCCTTTCTAATAAACCTTTGAGTTGAAGCATGCTCTCCTCCACTCTTCATCCCTGAATTTACCCTCCCTCTGCTATCAGATGTCGAGGACATTGGCAGTGACAGAAAATGGGCCAGGGCCAATTAGCCCAGCTGCTTGGAACCAGGTCATCTGGGAAGTGTGTGGGAATCCCGCTGGCCCTGCCCACGCATTGCTGCCAGGGGATTCCATTATGGTATTGATAACAGTATCATTAACCACAGGTGACCAAGTGCCAGGCACTGTGCCTGGGGCTCACATGAATATCTCGTTTAATCTTATCCCTGTGAGGTAGATGCTCTGCTATCCCTGTTTTATAGATGAGGAAACAGGCTCAAATTGGGGAATGACATTTGCCCATGCAGTATTTTCTGAGCACCCATTCTGGCCCTGTTCTGGCTGCTGATGAATCAGGTAAAGAACAAGCTCATTGTTTCCATGGGTCTTACCTCCCAGTAGGGGAGAGGGACACTTAACAGGCCAAGGTCAGCTACTGATAGGACACGTGCAGAATTAAACTGGGGTGAGAGCTTGGGTGGTCAGGGAAGGCCTTTCTGGAAAGGTAACCCAGAAGCTGAGATCTGAATGGTGAGAAGGGGTCAGCCAGGACCAGGAGGCAGAGGGCAGTCAGGACAAAGGCCATGAGGGGGGAAACGGGCTGAGTGAGCTCGGGGATGAGAGGTTGATACAGCTGTGACCCCAGAGCCAGGTGTTTGCCCAAGATGCGGCTGGAAAGGAAGCAGAGGCCAGTTGTGCTAGGCATTGTAGGCCAAGATTAGACGTCCATTTAATTCTAAGTGAGGTGCAAGCTCCTAAAAGAGTTTAATTAATCCCAGCACTTTGGGATGCCAAGGCGGGCAGATCACTTGAGGTCAGGAGTTCAAGACCAGCCTGGCCAACATGGTGAAACTCTGTCTCTACTAAAAATACAAAAATTAGCTGGGTGTGGTGGTGCACACCTGTAGTCCTGGCAACTCACAAGGCTGAGGCATGAGAATTGCTTGAACCTGAGAGGCAGAGGTTGCCTCTGAGTGGTGATCATGCCACTGCACTTCAGCCCGGGTGACAGAACGAGACTGTCTCAAAAAATAAGATTTCTCTGACTGCTCTGTAGAGAATTTGGGCGGGGAGGGGAGGCAGGAGGGAAGCACGATGACCAGGTTGGTGGCTACTATAGCAGCACAGGCAAGAGATGTGGCTTGGTCTAGGGAGGTGGAGTGGGGGTCATCTCTACTCCATGGAGTGGACGGGGTCAGGATATGCTTTGGAGGTAAAGGAGATAGCACTTGCTGGCAGTTTGCATGCAGAGGATAAGTGAAACAGGAGATTCAAAGACATCTCCTAGATTTTGGGGGAACGTGTTTTGGGGGAAGCATTGGAGAGGACTAGGTTTGAGGAAAGAGCTACTTTGGAAGCTCTGTGGAAGGTAACTTTTAAATATCCAAATGGAGATGCCAAATAAGAATTGTAATTAGAAATTGGAGTTCTAGACCAGGTGTGGTGGCTTATGCCTGTAATCCCAACAGTTTGGGAGGCTGAGGTGGGCAGATCACCTGAGATTGGGAGTTTAAGACCAGCCTGACCAACATGGAGAAACACCGTCTCTACTAAAAATACAAAATTAGCCGGGCATGGTGATGCGTGCCTGTAATCCCAGCTACTCAAGAGGCTGAGACAGGAGAATCGCTTGAACCCAGGAGGCAGAGGTTGCGGTGAGCCGAGATCACACCATTGCATTCCAGCCTGGGCGACAAGAGCGAAACTCCATCTCAAAAAAAGAAAAAAAAAAAAAAAGAAGCTGGAGATATCTGGACTGGAAATATAAATTTGGGAGTCATTAGCCTGGAGAAAGTTTGCAAAGCCAAGAGACTGGCTTCTCAGAGTGTGGTTCACAGACCAGCAGTATCAGCATCATCTGGGAGCTGGGTAGAAGTGCCAAGTCTCAGCCCTGCCTCCAAACCTGATTAATAGGAATCTATGTTATAACAAGATCTACATGTGATTTCTGTGCATATTAAAGTTTGAGAAGTGCTGTTCCAGGGACTGAGTGAAGACGAGGTGGGGGGATCCCTGTGCTAAGCCCTAGAACACCAGCAAGGAAGACTTGGGGATGACAGCCAGAGGAACCCCCAGTCTGGCAAGATTCCAAGCCTTATGAACAGACCTTGGCTTCCAATCCTTCTCAGCCTCCCCACTTTACAGATGAGAAAGCCAGGGCCTTAGAGGTGAATAAGTCCTGTTATGATGGAAGGAGATTCTGATAATAGCAGTTCAGTTTTGGAGCTGGTCTAAGTGTGCAGATTCTAAGCCTGGCAGCCTCCCCACAGGAGCAAGGAGGGTGGTGTTGGGGCCCCATGGGCTCAGAAGCCCTCCTGTGCACCCAGTGACACTTAATGTGGTACTTCGCCCCCACCCATGTCCTGTGTGTTTCACTTCTTGGAGACTTGGTTTCCCTATCTGTGGAACCAACATTTCCTGTGACACCCATCTCCCAGGGTTGTCCCCCCGGACCCCATCACCCCGCTGGCATCCTGAGCTCACTGCCTCCTTCCCCCCACTTGCCACATCCAATCTGCATCCCAGCACCATCAATTCTGTTTCCTAGCTATCTGGGGGATCCATCCCCTCCTCTCCATCCTCCCTGCCCTTCCTTCTCTCTCTCTCTCTCATCTTTTTTTTTTTTTTTAGGTGGAATTTCTCTCTTTTTGCCCAGGCTGGGGGTGCAATGGCACCATCTTGGCTGACTGCAACCTCTGCCTCCTGGGTTCAAGTGATTCTCCTGCCTCAGCCTCCCGAGTAGCTGGGATTACAGGCACGCACCACCACACCTGGCTAACTTTGTATTTTTAATAGAGATGGAGTTTCACAGTATTGGTCAGGCTGGTCTTGAACTCCCGACCTCAGGTGATCTGCCCACCTCAGCCTCCCAAAGTGCTGGGATTACAGGCGTGAGCCACTGTTCCCGGCCGCCTTTCTCATATTCTGTTCTTCCAGTAGCTTACTAAATCTCTCCAGACTTTTGTGTCCCAACATCCTCCATTTAGAAACACAAATTTGACCCAGCGTCTGCTCTGAAGTGACTCCTCACCGTCTACAAGATATAACTGAGGCATCCTCGCTTGAATTCAGTGTCCTGTGTGATCTGGCCCCCACCAAAACCCCAGTGTCAGCTCTGTAACTTGTCCCCCAACTGCTCACGAGACCTGAACCTGCCGTGCTCCTGCCTTCACTAGATTCTGCTGCTACATGTGCCTTGCTAATTTCTCATCCTTCAGGAAAACTCAAATGACACCTCCAGGGAGCCAACTAGGACACCCCAAACTGTTTGGTGAGCTTCTTTGGAGATCCCCAGGTCCCCTTTCGTGCTCCATTTCTGTGTATACCACACTGTTTTGGAAACAGCTGATAATGTGTCTTTTCCCCACTGGTCTGTGAACCTGAGGGTGCGAGCAGTGCTTTGTTCATTCCATATCCTGTGCACCTGGCACACAGTTTTTTGGTCCTCAGCTAGTGTTTGTGAATGGGTGAGTGAACGAGAATGTAGGAGCAGACTTGATGGTTCTAGGAGAAGCATAGAGCTGAAGCCTGGAAAGGCATCTGAGGAGGAAGGGAAGCCGGTGCTCTGAGATACTGAGCAGTTAGTGTCTTGCCCCAGGCACCAGAGGGAAGATTCAAGAACCAGGAAATGCTGGGTGAGGTGGCTCACACCTGTAATCCCAGCACTTTGGAAGGCTGAGGCATGGGGATCATGAGGTCAGGAGTTGGAGACCAGCCTGACCAATATGGTGAAACCCCATCTCTACTAAAAATACAAAAATTAGCTGGGTATAGTGGCACACACCTGTAATCCTAGCTACTCAGGAGGCTGAGGCAGGAGAATCGCTTGAACCTCGGAGGTGGAGGTTGCTGTGAGCCGAGATCGCGCCACTCACTGCACTCCAGCCTTGGCAACAGAGCCAGATTCTGTCTCAAAAATTAAAATAAAATAATGGCCAGGACTGGTGGCTCACACCTATAATCCAAGCACTTTGGAGGCCAAGGCAGGCGGATCACCTGAGGTCGGGAGTTCAAGACCCGCCTGACCAACATGGCGAAACCCTGTCTTTAAAAAAAAATTAAAAAATAAAAATAAAATAGAAAAATAAAATAAAATTTCCTGCTGAGCAGTCCAGGAAAAAAAATTAAAAAATAAAATAAAATAATCAGGAAATGATAGTGGATGGGTAGGTGGGGCGGGAGTCCATAGGTTTCTCAGCAGCTAAACCCCAAAACCCAAGTACTTCACCTCTCTGGGCTTCAGTTTCTCCCCTTGCTAAATGGGGTTAATTCCTGGCCACCTCACAGCATCACCTGAAGATCAAATGGGTGTGTGAATATGAATGTGTTCAGGAAGGTAAAAACCTTTGCAGTTAAGCTTATTATAGTTTTCACAAGGTCTGGACAGCCCCCCAAGAACTCACCAGAGTCCAGAAACGCAGTTCCCAGCTACCAGCACCTCCAATAGGAACTTTCCTCTCTGAGTGCTGACTGCCTGGACAAAACCCACTGATAGGTTGGGCATGGTGGATCACGCCTATAATCCCAGCACTTTGGGAGGCCAGAGCAGGAGGATCATTTGAGGCCAGGAGTTTGTCAACATAGTAAGACCCAAGATGCTGTTTCTTTTTTTAAAATTATTATTAATATAGATAAATTTAAACGTTTCATGCATCTCTAATCATGATGTTCTATCTGCCCTCCAAAGGAGGAACAGGTAAGGATTATCCCACCAGACGATAAGACCCTGTTTCTAATTAAAGAAAACTAAAAGTAAAAAAGCTTTTGGCCAGGAGCGGTGGCTCACACCTGTAATCCCAGCACTTTGGGAGGCCAAGGTGGGCGGATCATGAGGTCAGGAGATGGAGGCCAACGTGGTGAAACCCCATCTCTACTAAAATACAAAAAATTAGCCAGGTATGGTGGTAGATGTCTGTAGTCCTAGCTATTTGGGAGGCTGAGGCAAAGGAATCGCT